TCTAGGCAGGCAGGCTTTTCTTTTCCCTCCTCCAAGAGATTTTCTGGGCCCACTTCAGGGCCTTACTTATTTCATAGTTAACGCTCGCTCCCATTTACCGTGTTGTCACTGAGTAGTGGTGTATCATTAGATATGGAGTATATGAATTACTGAAGCAGCTGAAATAATCAAACTACTTCAATTTGTTTAAAATGCTTATGCTTTCAGTACAGATCATAAAAATATGGGAGCTCCAAATGATTCCTTGTAAAAGCTACTGTTGTATGCAAAGTGCCAGCGAGCTTGAAAAAGACTTTGTTACTGTGTATGTCACTTATATTAATGGAAGTATGCTAACAACCAGTCATTAAGAGTGCTGAGTTGTCATCATACCTCAATGGGCTATTCTAAAACTTCATTAAGAAATTAAATGCTTTGAAAAGCATACAGAAAACACAGTCAAAAATTTATAATAAATCCTCCTTTAACTATTTTTAAGCAAGCTAGAAGACAAAAATTAATTCAATAAGGTGTAGGTCTGAGCCCTATCCATCTCCCAAACAAATGAAAGAACCAATCAAGAATTTTATCTTCCACTTGAGAAGGTTAGTCCTTCTTCATCCTTAGTTTTTAAATACATGTGATGTACAGGGAGAAGATCACGGATATTGCAAGGTGAATAGATCTGTAGTCAAATGACTAGATACACTGGATTCATACACCCTGTTAAAAGCACTGTCCATTAACAGAAATCAATAGCACATTATACAATTTTGTCTTTTAAACAAAGCTTAAATTTTATTACTGCTTTCACTGCACTGTTGGACTCGTTTCCTAGTTAGAAGTGTGGAGTTACAGGAGAAAATCCAATGGGGGACACTGACCCCACCCAACTTGATCCAGGAATTACCCATGCTGCTGCAAGCAGATCGCACAGGACAAGGCAGGCGACAGAGGCTTTACGGATGCAGAGATTCATACTGGAAAGAGCAGTCTCCTTGAATTATGTTTAAAAATGTGTCTCCTGTCAGGAAGTATGAAATCTCATATTCACATCAAGCAAATTCTGAGCATTTTATCTACGATGCCGTAGTTATTCTTGCAATTTGTTAGGGTCTGGGGAGCAGGAGGAGCTGCTACATTCTGTTATTCTGAAAAGGAAACACGTTTTTAAACATAATTAAAAAACACACTTTCTCCACACAAAGCAACCTCCAGCCTTCACAGGCAAGTAGGATACAATAGCTGTAGACAGATATAAGGAACTTGAGGAAATGAAGCTACAGTACAAAGCTCTATAGCTGGAGATTCCTCTCCACAATTGTTTTCCATTTGGCTTCCTATAAGCAGTTGTCATCAGAGCTCCACATTCGCACTACTAAACTGTAATTAAGTCTTTCTTATCTCCTGCAACACGAGGCAAAGCCAAGCTAACTGCAAGAGAGAGGAATTTCACCTCCCGTAGGAGTAAGAAAGGCACTTGCCACCTTAGCCCTGAGGCACAGATCCCCTCCAGCACCAGGTAGCTGGGTATCCTGCTTGCCCCAAGAGCCTGTCTGGGCCCTTCCCTGACCAGCCTGGGCACTTAGCATCACCACCATTCACCCACACTCACCAATAGACCTGGGAATGTAGGTACTTCTAGCTCTGAACAGTTACACATGATTCCCAGGAGTAAAATACTAATTTGCTTCTATGTGTAAGCAAATACAGCAGAAGAAAATCTGTATTTATTATGAAACCGAGTATCTGGCAGACAAAACAGCACATAAAAACTCTGCTTTGCATACAGTAACCTGATTCATCTAAACACTTCAAAATTTCAAATGTATGCTCAGACTGAAACACAACATGCTACCATTGAAAGTGGTAGGGTTTACAGAGAAAGGTTCCTTTATTTGCTTTCAGGAAGCTTCTGCTACTGTTTTTAACATATATCGTAATTACAGTCCACATGGATGTAGGCAACACCTCCAAGAAATCCTAGGAGTTTTTGTTTCTCTTGTTAAAAGTTAGAGAAATTTTGACATAACTTCCTCAACAAATTAAATAAAGTAGCGTTTTTCCCCCACAAGAAAAGACTGTTGAAACTACTGGGTTAGGTAGTTTAAGACGAAACACACATGCTCTTCGTTTGTGGAAACATCCCATCTGCAAAATAAGAACTCCTTGTTTTTATACTCTCTGAGTATTTTAGACGGATGTTGCAGAACGAAGTAGTACAAGAACACAAGAAAATCATTTCAATTGACTGACAGTAGAGAGAAACTCCACCTGTTTTTATAACAAGATCCATAATGCCAGAGTGACTTCTGGACTCTATTTCTATTACTTTGCTGAAGCGATTTACAGTTTTATAGGCCTTGTTTCAACAGCAGGAAAAGCTTTCAAGGTGAATAAAGAGAGGTTTTATCCAAACCTCAAAACATAAAAAGTTTCATCATTTGCTGCTCCCCGATAGAACAACCTGGGCACTGGCACGCAGCTGTTCATGCCAAAAGGAACCACCAAAGTCCATGATAACTGTTCTTCATCATTCTCATATGCTGCCCATGCCTCTCCTGCCTCTCAGTTGTTACAATGACTGTATTCATATGTCATTTTTTGCTACAAACACACTATGCATTTTTCTGCTTCTCTGGTGTCAACAGCTAATCAGCTAGCGCAAGCAACTAAGGATACAGATACAGATTTGTTAAGTGAATACACGGCTGTTTCACAAACGACTGAAGAATATCATCGAAATCCTCCTTAAAAGTCCAGGAGATCAGCAGCACTGAAGTTGCCACCTTCTAGTACTCCCACTGTAAAACCACACGCTTACTTACGAGCATGCTGTTTGGGTACAGTCTACACCTGTGATGAGGCAATGGTATTCTTTGGAAATATCCTGAATACTGATATACTGAAGTAAGAAGTTCTGACAGGTGCTGAGCACAAGTAACTCCTAGTGACTTAGGTCCAAGTTGTGGGTACTTCAGCCTTTCCTGATTTATAACCAGGACGCAATGTTTTTCAATCGGCAGAACAAGAGGTCTCCTGCGCCACAGATGATTTTAACAGCAAAGTCCATCAGATCATAAAATTTTTATCACATCACATCATAGGGCTTTACCAAGAAAATGTGCTAAGCCAGTTGCCAGGGCTCAGCAGAGCAACTGCTGACAAGCTAACATGTATCAACCTTATCTATTTATTTAAACTGTGCTGCTTGTCGCCTCTTTTTCACTCCCATCCACCTTCCCGAGCGTGTATGCAACACAGCCAGTGTTTCTTCCCTCACGGCTATCAACATCAAGGAGGGCACAACTCATTCAAAACATCCGTCCTGCTTTCACAACACCAGGCAGCCACCGCAGAAAAGAAATCCCAAGGCAAACTTGTGTAAAATACTTTAATTTATGGCTAACAAGAAAAAAGAAATGATGAAATGATTCTTGCAAGCGTAAGACTATTTCCTTGACCGCTCGTCTTTGCTGAACGTCATCTATGCAGCATGTGGAAAGACAGGGTGGTTTTGAACTGAATTAACTAGGAAGGCAACACAAATGTTCCTGTATCCACACAGTTGTACAAAGGCCTCCTTGCCCCGATAAGAGCACCCCTTTTAGTTCATTTGTAAACTTTTAGATCCAACCTGTTAGCGAACTGTTTGTACAGAGTGCTCCTTCATGTACTTTGGATCCATTAGACTTCCTAAACAAATTTGAGCTTCATAGGTCAGACAAGTATTTTTGAGCTCTGAATATTTGAAACTGTATATTGAAACTGCAGCCAGTTTTCCTTTCAAGTTCTTTAATAAAATCACTTTTTTAAAAAATAAATGAACACTGGATAATTGAAAAATCCATTAAGAAAGCGCTGGGGGCTGTTATTTTGCTTTATACTGACGCTTTGCAAATGGCACCCTGCAAGTTAAGCCATAACTTCTTGTTAAAATGCAGCTAAAATCTATATTCCCCCCCACCCCGTTCACACACATAGGCAAAATGCATAGTTGAAAGCACACTAAAGGACTGGGGGAAATCCACGGAGCAGGCAGGTTACTTGATTGCCTCTGAATAACAAATCTTTCCCCAGCAGATTTAAAATAGACTGTTTCGCCGTAGAAACACATTTCTGGCATCAATACGAGCAGTTACCCCAACAGCTGAGGGAAGAAAAACAGTCTCCAACAACTTTGGGTCTGGAAAGTAAAGCTGGCTGAGCAAAGTAATAAAGATCCCTGCCTGCTGCTGTTACTGGGGACTAATCCGCAACGCCAAGCGATCCGTTGACTCCGGATCTCGGTGCCGTTTTCCCTGCTCAACAGCACAGTCCGGGGCTGCGGGAGGGGCAGACCTGCTAGCAATTCTCGGGAGCCCGAAAGTTTCCCCTCCTCTGCCCAGCAGCATCGGAGCCACCACCAGCGGCCGGCGAAGGGGACACGTCCCGGAGCGCGGGGACCGGCCTCCGGCCACCGCGAGCTCCGGAGCGTCCCCGCGCCCGGG